GGTCATTTCTTGAAGCTCTTGCTGGTTCTTCACCTTCCTTTCTGGATTTGAGGACTTCTACTTACCGAGGTTTGTCGTCCTTATGGATTTCCGACGAGGAAATCACAGAGCTTGCTGTACATTTTCAGTTCTCTTTAGTTGGCTTTTTTCCGTCTAAACGACCCCCTCTCGTCTTTATTCGGAAATTTTTTTTCAATTTGAAGCTTAAAGAAGAAGTTTCTGTTACTGTTTTGGATTCTTCTCACATTTTGATCAAACTCTCCAATGATCTAGACTATTGTAGGATTTTTTGCCACCGCTCTTACCTTGTTTTCAATTGCTATATGAAACTTACTAAATGGACGCCTAGCTTGGATATCGGTGTTGAGTCGCCGGTTATCCCGATATGGATCTCGTTTCCGCGCCTTCGTCCTCATTTTTTTTCTCCACGGATTTTGTTTGGGCTTGGTGAATTATTTGGTAAACCTCTGAAAATAGATGAAGCTACGTCTGTCGGTTCTCGTCCGTCGAATGCCCGTGTTTTAGTCGGACTTGACATAACAAAATCTTACCCTAAGCAAGTTTGGCTAGGATCTGAAAATTTAGGTTATGTTCAAGAGGTGGTTTTAGATGAATTTCCACATTTCTGTATTGTTTGTAAATGTATAGGGCATTCTTCGGGAAATTGTAAACCTGCTGCGTCTGTGAATCCTAACGAATCGTCTATTCCGATTGTTAATTTATCACAACCCTGTGTTGTAAATGATGTTTTGGGTGATGCTCCCTCTGTGACGGAAGTTTTGGGTAATGTCGTTGCTTATACGAAGGTTGTTCTTGAGGCATTACCTTCTGTTGAATCTCCGGGTTGTACCAATGCTGATGGGGTTTCCCCTGTTCCTTTGGATGGTGTTGTTGTGTTGCCTGGTAATCAGGTTGGATCTTCTCCTACTGATATTATGGTGTCGGGAATTGGTGTTGTTGTGGCCTCTTGTCCTGTTTTGGTTCCTTTAGAGCCCGCACCTTCTATGTGGCCTATCGTCGATGGTGGGTTGGTTATCGTTGATTCTCCTGTTATTTTAAAGGATTGCGCTACAGTGCAGGATGTTGTTGCACCTGTGGATTCAATTGTGATGGATAAACGGGTTGAAAAATTCGGTTATGCATGGAATGTTGGTTAATTCTCACAATTTCGTTAATGTACCCGTGAATGTTATGGCCCCCCAAACTCTGATGAACCAGGTGGTTAATCCTGGATTGGATGTTAGGTCCCATGGTGATTGGTTGCATTTTTCGTCTGAAGATGGATCAGATTACGACTCTCTTTCGGATTTTTGTGGTGGCTCAGATCCTGGAAATGAATGTAAAATGGTTCGTGATAGGCCCGTAATCACTATTGCATCGCCTGGGAAATTTCGTGGGAGAGGCGGGAGAAGAAGAAGATAAACAGTTTCCTTATCTTTTTATCTTAATTTTTTACCTGGTTCGCTTACTTGCGGTTTTTGATCGAGGATGGGCTATGATGTGACTGGGGCTCGTGTCCCCTTCCTCTTGCTGGTGACAACCGTTGGTGATCTGACTGGATGGTCCTTGCGTGGCTAAGGGGACGCTGGAACCTTAGCCTTATGCTGAGCCCTCTATGTTTCTCTATCAATCATTTTAGTGTTTTGATTTTTAGCTCGTGTATCCTATTTTTTACTGTTTTATTCGCCGACTGTTGTAACTCCTTTTGTTATTTTAATAAAATTTTCTGTTTTTTTTTTTTTTTAAGGATCATTTGCTCTAAAAGACATTTTTAGACAGAGAAATCCAATGTGATAAGTATCCAATGCCCACATCAATTTCACATTAAAATTAAATTTTAATAATATAAATTCTACATTAATTAATTAACAAGTATTTTAATTTAACTAAATATGCAAATACACCTCCAATGTAACTAATTAACTATTATAATTTAATCATGACTTCTTTTTTATTTTCTATAAATTAATTTTTTAAAATTAATAAATGATTTGATTTATTAATCAGTTCATATAATAAATGACTCATTAATTATTAATTAACAGTTCAAGTATATTTGAAATATAAAAGACAAATTAAACTTTTTACACATTAATTATTCTTTTTAAATGTTAAAAAAAACTATAATTTAAATATAAAACTTACATTAATAATAACTTACTAATTTGATATCTATTTTAAATTCATTTAAATTTACAAAAATAATGATATCATGTATTATATGATTAGTTTTATATCAATATATTCTTTTATTTAAATTTAAAATTTTCATATTACTTTTATATCAATATATTCTTTTTTATTTGTTTTTTTTCATTAATATATTATTTTTCATGCATTAATAATACTAACTAATATATTATTTCCCCTATATTATATGATTATTTTTATTTCATATTACTTAATTAAATAATCATATGTATATTCACTTAATATATAAATATTTTTATAAATTCTTATCATATACTTATTTATAACTAGCATACTCGAATATCATATATAAACTAACAAATTAACAACCTTATATAACAACCCTAAATATCAAAAAAGCTCAAAAATGCACGAAAGCTAAACCTTAAACCTTGAAAATTCGGGCTTAATAGAGCACAACGAATGTATTGGCTCATTCAAATGCAGAATGCGCCAAACAATCCGGCGCATGCCAATCCTCACGGTGCATTTAAGAATGCGCCAAAATATTGAGTGTATTCTATGTACTCGTCAATTCGTTTGGCATTTTCTAACTACGCTAATCATTATGACGAATATACTCTTTCTTATATTTATCCCCTTTCATGATCTTCGCGCTTAAAGTGCAATGAAACCCACTTTTAAAAATTTGGTCTTTTATATCCAACGGTCCAAATTCTTATTAAACTTAAAATATATGAATAAAGATATTTTAGCCTAAGCTATTTCGAACCCTCATCCCTCATTTGCGATAGCTAGCCTATACTCTCCGATGAGAACAATTATTAGGTCAGGTGATCACCAGACGTAGCTTTACATTCGGACGCCAATAACATGTCGCCACGTGGACTTACTCAATACCGCGCGGCCCGACGACTTGACCAGGGATTGCTATGTTCGCGTATTGCTCTAGGTATTGCTCGGTATTGCTTGACAATAATGAAAAATATTACTCTGTGAAGACCAATGCCGAGCAAAATCTCGGTATTGCTCGGTATTATTCGGTATTGGTCTTCACAGAATGGTATTTCTCGTTATTGCCTAGCAAAATCGACCAATACCGAGCAATACCTAGCAACACGTGAACATAGCATTCCCGTCTCTGTTCCGGGTCAAGGTTGTCGGGCTACGCGGTAAATAGTGAAAACATGTGGCATTATTTTACTGACGTCCAAACGTAGAGCTACGTCATGTGACCGAATCAAATAAAAATTCCTCCGATGAAGACTTATCACTGGCCTAGGCTTCTCGACACAGTTTCTCTTCATCTCCAGTGTGCACCCCTCATTTCCATCTACTAGCTTAGCACATGTTGGAGAGAAGTTCAAATTGGTAGAGTAATGAATTCAAATCTTCAAATCATACTTAAAATTAAAATTCAGGCAAACTTCGAGCTTTAAAAATACTACTAACTACTTTTTATCCTTAACAATAGCAATAGCGTTATTTACCTTTTCCACACATTTATTATGATAAAAGAGCATTTCGCCCTTACCGGCGCCTGATTTGTGACAACCAGAGCACATAATAATCATGGGCAAAATCAGCCTTTTCTTTTGAGTGTGAGCAAAATAAGATTATACAATACACAATTTTATGAATTAAATTAAGAAAATTTTCTTTCTAAAAATTTGAAAAATCTCATTTATTGAAGGTAGGGGTGCAACCGAGTCAAGCCGACTTGCGAGCCGGCTCGGACTCGACTCGGTAACAGGCTCGACGAGTCGAGCTCAAACACGAGTTCGAGCTCGACGGCTAATCGAGCTCGAGCTCGAACATACGTCGGACTCGACTCGTCGGCTCGACGAGCAGCTCGTTGGCGGAGCTCGTGGGCGGGAAATCCAAATCTCGTGAGCGGAAAATCCAAATCAGCGGCACAAGCGGATCTTGATTCTTGACGGAGGATGAGCTTGGACAAAGGGCGGTTGTGAGTGATCTCGATCTCGACGGCAGAGCTCATCCATTGCTCGTCGGATCTCGGGACGACGACCTCGAGACGATGGATCTCGAGTTCTCAACTATGGAGCTCAGGAACACGTTGGACGAGCTCGACCTCGAGACGACGAATGGAGGAACCGTGGATGATGACAGACGGGCTGGAAGATGAGGGACGCGACGACGAGGGCGGAACGCGGAAGTCGGAACTGAGGTCTCGAGACGACGGGCCTCCCGTCACGGGCACGACAACGGGCTCGATAGCGAGCTTGACGAGCTGCTCGATATGACGACGAGTCGAGCTCGAGCTCAGATTTTGAACTAGACTCGAGTTCGAGCTCGAGCTCGAGCTCGGATTTTGGTTGTCAAGCTCGACTCGAACACCTCCTGGCTCGAGCTCGACTCGACTCGTTTGCACTCCTAATTGAAGGCAAATAAAATAATAAAAATGCTTATTCTTATAAAAAAATTCATGATGAATAATTACACACCTTGCAAGTTGCAACAAAACAAATAAATATACATAACATAAATATAAATAGTACAACTCAATACTATTTTTGAAATCACGCTAGAAATTTGAAACCAATTTATTTTAAGATAATATAATAATTTTTTTTTTCATATATGGCGTAAATTACTTCAAAATAAAGTTAAAATCATTAAATTAATATTAAAATTAGTGTAATTTTTTTTATAATTTTATAGATAACACTAATTTTAATAAAAATTTAACGAATAGAACCCTATTCTAACGCAATTTACGTCAATTATCTTCGTCTGAAGAAAATCAAAGGCTACCATTGCAATGAACCGAGGAACGACCGGCGCCGGCGACCCATTTACGAACATCATCAACGAATTTCTCGATATTTCGGTCCGAAGATCCGTTAGCGGTGATAGCCTGCCTTGCCGCCTCCCTCCACTTAGCCGCCCTGCTCCTCATCTTCACCGCCTCTTCTCCGTCAATAGCCGCCGCCACACACTTCTCCACTTTGTCTCTCGTCGCCGGCGCCGGTAGCCTCACGCCGATTCCACAGATGTCGCAGAGGAACTTGGCGTCCGGTACTTGGTCGCCCCATTGAGGGTAGGCGATAACCGGCACGCCGGCGGCCATGGCTTCGAGGGTTGAATTCCAGCCACAGTGGGTAATGAAGCATGCGACGGATTTGCTAGCCAATACCTTTTCCTGCGGGCTCCAACCGACCAGCATCGCCGTCCCTTCCGCCTCCACAGCCTTTTCGAACCCCTCCGGCAGAAGCTCCCGGACATCCTCCCTCACCTGGAGAAAGTAAGCATTAATTATTTTTTTATAATTTTTATGCTTAAATTTGACAATTTGTTTTGAAATTAATATTTTGGAAGAAGAAAAGGTTCTTAAGTTTGTGAAGTTTTATGAATGATGAGATTTAATAAATTTTAAATTTAATCGATAATTAATCTAGTAACGAATTATCAAAAATAAATAAAATTATTCGAGACATTGAGATGCTTAGATAAAATTTATAGAATTATGAGATAAATATTCAAAATTATAAGATTTTTAAGGATAAAATTAAGGTTTCATTTAGGACATTTTTTTATTATTTTTTTAAATAAATTTTAGTAAAAAATTCTTTAATTTAGAAAATTTTTAACTAATAAGTTGTTTCAAAAATTAATAATAAAACTGTTTCAAAAAGAGACTATTCAAGGTTTTTAATTTATATTTTGTTTAAATATTTTTTAAAATTTTGAGTTATTGTCTCATAATTCTAAATTTTTTATCACTTTTTTTTATCATACTTAAAGATATTATGATACTCATTTTTTCTTTATCAAAATGGTGATATTATATTAATGAATTAAGCTAAATCTTCTTTAAATGTTGTCTAAAATGAGAAATCCATTAGCTATAAATTTCTTTAATCAAAATAATTAAATTTATTTTGAGTAATTATTGCTCATACAAAAATAAAGAATAATTGTAAATAAATTACACAAAAGTTTATCTATTTATGTATTAAAACCTATTTTTATATTTATTAATTTAATATTTTAATGATTTAATTATATTAAAATATATGTATGAAAAGATGGTTTTTACTTAAAAAAATAAATATTGCTTATATTTTTATTGATTCAAAATTGGCTGAATTTTTAAAGGGGTATTTTAAAACCATAATTTAAGTAAAAAATTCATTATTAGAAATTTAAAAGAAAGCAAGAGTCATACTGGCAAATTATAATATGCAAATGATTTGGGAGTTCACGAATAGCCAATTATTTGACATATTAACCTAAAAAGAGAACAGTGGAGGAACTGGAGAAGACACGAGAGGGACAAGAAAAGGGGGACGGAAGGCGAGACCCGGGGAGTAGAGAGGAGAAGGAGAAAGAAAGCGGGTAGCAAGCAGTTGAGGTAGAGAGACGAGAGCTAAATAATATATATATAAATTACTTAAAAATAAAATTTGTTATCATACTATTATATATTATAATATATAATATGTAATTACATTAAAATATTTGTTATCCCTATTATATTTTTAAAATAATTAATATAGAAAATGTATAAAAAATTATAAATTATAATGAATAATTATTTTGTGTGATAATACAAAAAAATTTCTTGTAAAAATAATCTTTTTACAATAATTTCTACTACAATTTTAATATTATAAATTATAATGAAATAATTATATTTATTACAATAAAAAAAAATTTCTTGTTAAAAATAATTTTACAAATAATTTTCAATTTTAGAATAAATAATTATTAATAAATATTACTAAATTTAAAATGTATTATGAAATATTACTTAAATATTTAATTAATTATGAATTATAGTTAAAATATTTTAAAAGATAAAATACAGTTAAAAAATCGTTAAATATATATCAGTTAAATAATTATTTAAATTTCCCCAAAAAAAATAATTATTATTATTTAAAATATATTTAAATTAATATTAAAATAATTATTTTAAAATATTTAAAATAATAACATAACAAATATTTTAACTAATAATAAAATAATTATTTAAGACTCTCTCTCTCTCTCTTCCCTCACCCGCTCGCTCTCTCTCCCAAGTCAGCGTTCTCTCTCTCTCTCTCTCTCTCTGGTCTCTCTCCTGGTATTGTATAAATAAATATGGAATTTAAAAAAATATAAAGCTAAGCACTTATTATCCGCAGGCAGAGGCCCCTAATAGTTTCATGCCATTGATTGTGACAGGAAAGAAGAGAAGTAGTTCTTTCCTTCTTTGGAAGTAGGAGATCAGTAGTTACATACCACCCATAGAAATGGCCGGCCGGAATTCCTGAGTCCGAAGGCGAATTCGGCCATCTCGTCGGCGGAAAGCATGACGACGCTTCCGACAGAGACGTACACCACCGAATTGGGTTTCTGAGTTTCGAGCCAGTCGAGGCAGTGGTCGGCAGATTTCCATAGATCGGCTTTAATCTTGTCCTCAAAGGACTTCTCGCCGACGTCGACTAATGGGCCGATGGGAATGATGGGGACGACTTCTTCCAAGGACTTAAAGATATCATGCTCAAGCTCATCGAAGGAGTTGGCGAAGATCCACCTGGCCTTGCTGATGTTGTGGAACTGTGCGAGGATCGCCTCTGTCAACGACTTGTAAGGGTTGGATGGTAGGATGAAAGTGGGGAGCTCGTCGGGAGCCATGGGTGGGATTCCTGGGAGTTGGACATGGGTTTCGAGGTTGTCTTCGGTGGGGAAATCGACTAGACGGTGGTGAAAATGGTAGTAAATGGAGAAGACGGCGCAGGATTGGATCCAGAGCACCGCGCTGGGGATGGATAAATCAGCCCCGACATCGAGAGCCCAAGGAATGAATGGGTTATTGACAAGGCAGGAGACTGGTCTGCCCGCGGCGGATTGACGGTGAATGAGATCGGCGAGAGCTGAGGGGCCGTTGGCCTCAAGTTTCCGCATAAGGTTGGAGAGAATGTCACCGGTGTCGGTGGGATCGACCCCCTCGTTAAAAAATTCAAATCGGAGGAAGCCGAGACCGACGGGGATGAGATCGGAGTCGGAATCGGAGTCGGAGTCCGTGGGGAAGTTGGATTGGGAAGCGGCGCGGATGCGGGAGCCGAAATCGATTGTGGTGGAGAAGGTGACAAGAGGGCCTTTGGAGGCTACGCGCTTGGCGAAGCGGAGAAAGGGATTGACGTGGCCTTGGCCGGGGAAGGAGACGAAGAGGAAGTGAAGAGAAGTGTCTGCTTCGCCCATGGAGGTTTTCTCTGTTTTGGCTCTGCAGGGGGGAGTGGAGCTGGAGCGGTTTATGAAGATATAATTTGTATTAATTGTAGCGGTCGTGGAAGGCTGAAGGGTTTCAGGGTTTGGTATGTCTGATCGTTGGCCACGTGCAGTAGGTTGGACCTGTAGAGCAGGGAAGGTTTGGTAGCTTTTTCAAGCTTATTTGATATGAGAGAGACCAATATAGGTTAATAGGTCATATTCGTGTATGTCTCTAAATTAATCTAATTTGACCTATTTATTATATGATTCAAAATTATTAATCCAAACATAATTCAAGAGACTAAAAATCCATTTTATTGTATAGATTAAGGGTGCAAATGAGTCGAGTCGAGCTCAAGTAATGCTTCAAATCGCAAGCTCGAATTTCAAATCGAGCACAAAAGAGGAGCTCAAGCCCGGCTAGTGCGCTATTATGAATTATAATAATTTTCTAGATATTTTTTGTTATTGATTTATACAATTTTCTTATTATCTAAGGAGTGAAAATTTTTTAAGTTTTGGATTTTCCTCTGGGGCACTATAGTACCTGTCTTGGCGGTGCCTCAGCATGAAGCTCTCAGGAAAAATAGAAAAAAAAAATAGTTTTGGTCGAATGTTGCGATGCTCGGTTGAGAACAAAGAGATTCTGGGAGAATTTGGAATATTCTCTATAGACACTGTGACATTAGGAATTTAGGCACCATGACGCTAGGCTAAATTAGTGCTTTTAAAATATTAAAATCATCTAAACCCATTGGTAAAAACACTTCCACCTTCAACTTGTCGTAGAAGAAAGGGAGAGGAGAATGAAGGAAAGAGAAGTAAAATGAGAGGATTTGTTGTCTAAGATTTGGAAATAGGCTGTCTAGCCAGTTGGAAAAATTGTCTCCCTCGAGATAGGCAATATGTACCCGATTTAATTCCCAATTATTTATAAAAAGAAATGCTTTTAAACATATTGTTTCTTGAGTTTGAGAAAGGTTTCAACTTATAACTTTTAGTATATTATTATATTCTCAATTTTAAACAATTAGAATGTAAGAGTACACAATTTCATTGGTCAGTTCGTTATGTATGAATTTCTAACGATTTTGAAAATTGGTGGCATCTTTGAACCTCAGTATAGTTAGCAAAGTAAGTTAATTTAGCATTTTGCATGATCTTTATAAAATTAGTAAAATTTTGAAAATTTTATATTGGCACTTGAAATGTGTATGTTTTATACAAGTTGATATTTATTTTATAATTACTTTAAATCCTTTAGTTACATATTTCAATTGCATTATCATGTAATTCTTGACATTCTAGAGTTTTGTTATGGAAAAGAAGAATACTCTAAAATTCTTTGTTTGAGCTAAGGTGAATATATCTATATTTTGGATTACTCTTTTTAGTTGTAAATCTGAATTGGCTCTGTATTGGAATATAACCTTCTCTGTTTTAATTAGCTCTGCTCTACACGTGTCTTTAGCAGGTGGGAGGTGAAATTTGAGAGTTATGAGAGACATTAATACATGTGCATTCCTATATTCACTTTTATATATAAATTAAAATATCCAATCTATAAAGTAAATGATACTTGTATTAATTTATTTATTTTCATGTTGAGCTATGAATTGAACTCTATAAAGGGGGGAGGGTGACCTACTGAGTTTCATACTGTAATACTAATATCCCAAGATCTAAATTTCAAAGAAGTATCAATTTTTATCTATTAATTAATTTGTCATAGTCACTAAATATTTATCATTTTGAATAAATTCAGTAAAAGTAACAATAAATCATATACATCAAAATATTTATATATTCATTCCTTCAAAATGCAATGTATAAAAGCGATGAGATTTGAATAATATCAATATATCCTTTTAAAGTTCTAGACTACAAAAAAATAGAACGAAACATAGAAATAAAAGAGAACAAAAAAATATTGATCAACCTCACTCCTAAGGGCTCTGACCCATTCCTAGACCTAAAATAAATAAAAAGTATATAATGAGCTTATAAAGCCTAACGAAAAACCTAAACTTATCACTACATTCAATGCAAAAAAAAATATTCAATATTCTTGCTCTAGTTGTACTAATCATCAATTTATATGCGTAATAAAAAATCTCTTAAATTAAAAATAAAATCAATATGATAAGCGAAGTCAAAAGAGATCTATCAAACTATTAAAAAAATTTTGAGAAGAAGGGTTATCAATTAATAGGCCATATTAGTATGCTATATTATGTTGTATCAATATCAATATAGGTTCTATCAATATAACTTCAATTCTATCTATCAATAAGTTCAATGCATTATCATGTAAATGAACTCATAAGAACAATTATGAAAAGCAAGGTAGGATGTTTAGCTTTGATATAATATTTTATTTTTCTATATGTTATCTATCATAATTATTCATCTATCAATCTTATTTTATCTTTCATTTTTTTATTAATAATTTATTTTTATTGGTACCGTTCAATAATCATTTAAATATCATCAACCTCTATTTGTTGGCATAATTCAATTAATCAGTCATAGGCTCCAAGTAGGATTACACCACCCACTTTTTATTTAAAAGAAATCTCATTAGCCTACCATTCTATCTTAGGTATTATGTTTTAAGATACAACACATTAATTATATGTTAATAGCTAATCTTCTTTGCTTACATGCAAATGCTATATTTTTTTTTGTAATGTAAGTCATTATCATGTGTATGAAATACAATATTTCATAAAATGCAATAAAATCTATAAAATTTGGCTACTATGTATTTATTTCATAAAATCACAGGTTTCAATCTACTCAGTAAAATTCAATAATATTATCGTCAAAATACTCAAGAGTGTCATATATATTATATACAAGTTGTACAGTGGAAGTTTGTTAAAAATAAGATATCACAATTTTTACAAGTTATGACTAAATTAAAAATTATAAGATACAAAATACATAAAATCATTGAAATCAAATGTAAGATAATGGTAGCCTACCATGAGATAAGCAATTTTTTTAGCTAGAATGACTGTAAAAAATAGCTCTAAGACCTCGAATTCTTATATTCTCTCTCCTATCTCCTCTCTCTTTTTAATTTTTCATTGTTCCTTCTTAATTAAACCAATGAGAAAGGGAAAATAAAGTTTTAATAAATCATTTAAGTGCTTAAAGACATTTATAATAAAATAATATGAGAGTATGAAAGTAATTATACCAATTATTTAGGTTTTAGCATAAAATCTTTATAAATTCTTTTATATCTTTAAATTTAGAGATTAAAAAATTATAAAAAATATATTCATAAAATATCCCAGCATGTCTAAAACAATAGTGAAATCGATTTACATCACAGACATCTAACTGTCTCAAAAACCCCACTTGTATTGACAAGTGTTAATTTCTTAAGAGATTGTAATACTTATTATTTTTACATCTACATTGCTCATAAAATTAGGAGAAATTTATAATAATTAAATAAAAATATTTTATATATTATAGCAAAGACAGTTTGCAAATTTAACTTATAATGACTACTAACAAATTATTCGATTGAATCAAAATAAGGGCTATTTCTCATACTCACCTTATTGTTTATAATATTTTGGCTATAATTAAGAGTTCTGTTGAGTAGACTGAGTTTAATAAAAAGCAATAATTCTGATTTTAAAGGTACTCATAATTTTGTAGTTTTTAACTTTTTATTGTATTTTTCCTATTTTTGTTACAATCATGTAAAATGTAGTATTGTGATTTAATTATTTAAAAAAATCCTCTCTCTTATATGTGTGTGTGTTCTACATGATTTGAGATGATTAATTGTTTATGGTGAAATGATAAATTATAATAGAATTAGCAAGTAAATAGAAAAAGTAAGTTTAAAATTTTCCTTTTTAAGTTTTTGAGGTCCTCCCTCTGCACATAATCCAATCACTTCCTACATTCAATGAGCAACCTCCTCCATCTTAAGAATCAAAAGGTATAAGCTCTCTAAAAACTCTTAAACAACTAAATCCTTATAGATTCTTCAAAAATCACAAAAGACGCAAGCCTAGATAGTAGTTATTGATTCTCAAAGAATCTTAGAATGCTAAACCCACATATGTAAAAGTTTTTCTATTTGTCTAATAGCCTAAGAGAGCATAAAAGAGTCAAAAGATTCATGTTTCTTCACTTAGGGCAACTCCAATGGAACGGCAAACACTTGTTTGCCGTTCTTGCTTTGCTCCAACCGACCGTCATTTCTCACGTCATTTGATGGCGGATGAACAGTGCAACGCCAATATTGGCGTGGCACTGTTCATCTCCGCCATTTTGTTGATCTCTACCGAACTTGCGGAAGAAAGGCGCGAATGACAGTTACGGGGCAAAATGACGTTTGATTGGAGATGAATCACGGCATTTTTCAGTTCCACTGCATTTTGGAGTGAAAAATGAGATTTTCGGTTGGAGATGCCCTTAGAAGAAAACAAAGAAGGAAAAGTAGAACAATTTCATTGTTTCATGTCCAAAAGGAGTTATCAGTTATTTGATTACTTAAAGCGTACTTATATTTGATCAATGCTATGAGTTTTTGTGAATACTAATGCTTGTTATTGAAATATTTAGTGAAAACAAATTCCTGTTATGAGTTTTTTTTTTCATTATCATTATGAAAGACTTATGAATTATTTGATTACTGTTAAAGACCAATATAGGCCCATTCAGATCAATAGTTCATCCTTATTTGACTGATTCCTATCAAAAATAACTCACTTAACTGAAATAATCAAAACAAATTTAGCCTTCGTTTGGAACAGCTTTTTTATTGCTTTCTAAAGTAACTTTCTGGAAATTTTTGTACTAAAAAATTGCTTCAGATGACAGTAAGAAAGTTGTCTCAAAAGAAGCCTAAGACATAATGATTACAATATATTTCAAAAACATGATGATGTGTTTCTCTTAGCCCAAACAAAAATCAAAGCTAATTATTGTAACAGTGTAACGCAGGATTTGTACTATAACATTGTCATGTATATTCATTCCAAAAGGATAACTGTTTTAATATGATCAAAACAGATTCTGTAGACAAAAAATATTCCAATGTGTTTGGATGGTAATGACATTTTCAAGACATCATTCAATTTGCCTTCTTTCTTCTAGAGATGTGTAACTGTGGAAAGAAATTATTGCAATTGGAAACCTAATATAGCTAAGGAATTAAGGCATCGATCCTTTTTGCTTATCTAAAATAAATATAAATCTATAATGATTTTCAAAAATTTTGAATCTTTGTCAAACAAAATCCAAATTTCATTGCTAGCTAACACTATTTTTTCATTGCTTTTAATAAATTTTTGTACTGGAAAATTTTTTACGGTAGCTTTCAAAAAAAACTATTTTGTTCATAACAACTTTACAGAAATCCCAAATAGACCCTAAATAAAAATCCTATGATATCAAATTTTCTCTATAGTGTAATACATGTTCTTATTACCTTTTATAAATTTGGTCATATTATTTGTAATCTAAAGTTATTTACTCTCACACATATAATAGATCCATTTAATTCATCATTATTTGTGGTGATGCTAAGTTATTTAATTATCCTAGTTTGTGCAATTGAATTTAATCATTAATGTTAATATTATGCTCAATATTGATAGACATTAGACTTCCTCTAAGTAATCATATACAAATACACATTTTTTCCCTTGTATTTTGGCACACCTATAGATTATTTTACTTGGATACAATTGTTTATGCATAATGTTGATCAGTCACTCCATAGTCTATCACATTGTTTTTCATCTCTCTTATATTTCAACATTCTTAACATCACTAACATTAATGAAGAAGTTGATGTTGCTCTTATCACCAACTATATTTGTAATAATGCTCCTTGCAAAAGGGACATCTGTGATATCAAATATAAGATCAAACATCAATTCCATCCATAATCACAGAGAAAATTAATGCTTCTAACTTTAATGCTAACCTATGACATAACTGCAGATATGAAGGCTTCGTTTGGGACGGCTTTCTTATTGTTTATTAAAGCAATTTTTTAGTAAAAAAAATTAAAGCTTCGTTTGAGATAGCTTCTTTATTGCTTTCAAAAACGGCTTTTCAGTATAAAATTTTCTAGTTCAAAAAATTTTTGCACTAAAAAATTGTTTTAAAAAGCAACAAGAAAGCTGTTCCAAACGAAGCCTAATTCTTGTATTAAAAAGCTACTTTAAGAAATGGTAAAAAAAGATGTCCCAAACGAAGCCATAACTATCCCTACTTGAGAAAAATTATTGTTGCCATTTTTTTGGTTCTAAATTATGGTTTTATTGTTTTGGCTGACTCAAGATCTTAGCTAATGGTTGTAATGTCTCTCTCTCTCTCTCAAAAATTAAAAGTTTTATATTGCTTTAAAAAGAAGAAAGAAAGCCACCCAAATAAAGCCTTAATCAAACCTTCTACATAAAAAATGCTAAGCAATTTATTCATACCTAATGATTTGGCATGTCATGAAAATATGCAGAAAAGCAACGAAGCAGGAACTAATTACTTTAGTCTATGATTGGAAAATGCCAAAATGGGTAAAATTGTAGGAGTCTACGCATCAGCCTTTACTGCTAGCAAAATCGTTTCACTGATTCTTTTGGTAAGAAGGATTGAATTGAAAGGTAGGACAGACATCCCTATCAAATAAAGAAAATCTGGAAGATACGTAGGCAAATAGAATTCAATTGAGGGTCATCCAAAACCTTCTACACTGATCGCAAAGTCGTACTGTAATTTTATCTGAATTAATTAATTATTCTGCCAAACTAGCAAGATCATTGACGCTCGAATAGCCCAAAAAGAAAAAACCATCACCGGTTTGAAAGCTTAGTTTATAACCGAGTTAGAGTCCATTTGGAGCAGCTTTCTCACAAACGTACTTTTAAGATAACCATGGGGGTCTGTTAGACCGGTCTAGCCAGTCCATACGAAACCGGCTTGCGAAAGAGAGGCGGTATCTCCGCCTCCTGTGGAGATTGGGCTATCCGAATGCCCAAGCAGAGAGATTCAGGAAAAAGAGATTTGAGAGGGAAATTTGAATGTAGAGACTGTTTAGAGATTTTCTTTTGAATTGTATGCATTAAATAGTTTGTTTTCCTAGGGTTAGGGCATCATGAATTTGGCTGAAATTTGAGATCTCCTAGATTTAAATTTTCTTTGGGCTCTAGAGGCGTCTAGAGATTTGGAAGAGATCGATCCTCCTCTCGAATAGAGGATCAATTGTATCTTGCTATTTTCCGTTTCCCTTTCATCAAATAATACAAACTATCTATTGTTTTCGTGGTTTTGTGTGGACTTTTGTGAAGAATTCTTGCTGTTTTCCGAAGCTTGATAGGAAATACTTGAGATCTGCAAGTGTTTCCTATCAGGGTCTTGTTTAGCTACAACTTTGTTGCTGCTTTAGATATTTCCATGGACAAAAACAACATTTTACAATCAAACTTTTTAAGATTAAAAATAAAATCTAAAATATCTACAGCAGCTTCCCAGAAAACCTGCTTTAACAAAAATCTAAAGTCGCTCCAAACGACTGTCAGGCTTAGTTTGGGATGGTTTTTTTATTACTTTTTAAAGAAACTTTCTAGTACAAAAATTAAATTCTTTTTATTAGAAAATTACTTCAAGAAACAGTACGAAAGTCGTCCCAAACAAAGTCTTAACCATAGTGCTTTTAAAACACAACATAAAGGCAGGTGACGTCACAAAAATTCTACTATTTTTCTGAACTTTTTCCTAAGAATATAAGACAAACTTTCCCACCCAAAGCACAAAAATATAAACAGATAAATAGGTAAACGTATTGCCAGAAATTTAAGTCTGATAACCAAATGAAAACTGGGCATAATTTTAGATCCAAAACAGCACGGCATACATAGAAAGAGATTACAAATACCATGAAATCAAACGCCATATAATACTTAGACTACCTTAGAAAATGGATTCCTAACACACAAAATTTAAGCAATTACGCTTCTAATTTGAGGCAAAACATTCAGCATATAGAAGGCTCCAGGAAGTAGAGGTCAAACATAAAACATGTAACACACTCTTTGCACCTTAAAAACTACATAAAACGCCTGTTATTATGAAAAATTCACATAATTGACAACGCAAAACTGGAGGCATTTAAATGGAAACAAAACATTTAAATCGTGACAGGAAAAAGTAAATGATCCACAATAAAACAACAAACAAGGATAGTAAGAATATTACATATTTTCCTTCCGGTTGGAAAGCTCGCCTTTGCAAAGCAGAAAAGTTTCTCTTGAATAAAGGATTATTTTTGCCAAAAGGACCAGAGTTCCGATCAATGTTCCTATGGAAGAAAATTGAAGCATTATTTATTGCTCTGGCAAACGCCATCAATAAAAGTAAGACAGTTCTTGGTTTAATGATTACGAAACTGAAGTGTCAATAAATGAATTATGAAAAGAATTACAGTGGTTTCTCTATCTTGAACTGTATGCACAAACAAATATATATATGCACGCACACATAGGCAATCATACTAAATTTTACTGAGTATGAAATGAAAAAATCCAACTTTACCAAGTTGAAGATACATTAAATGTATCAAGTTAAATCAGATCTTGACCAGTAGCAATTTCGTGCTAGAATGGTTTATTAATGATGGAAAGTTCTCTAAAGAAGCCGCTTCTGATCCTTGCAATTCTGTAAGAGTTTTTATCTCAACTTCAAGTTACCAAACGTGAAATGCCATGTGGCAAATGTAATGTTTATTTAATGAGACATTTTAATCTTTAAGATGATATGCTGATGTAACTAAATCAATTTTTTATTTTAAATATATATAAATAATTATAACGAAGATGAACATATTTATTTAAAATTTAAATTCTACTATTCGAAAAGATGTGTTAAATTTTTTTTTTTATTTGGGGTGGGGGAATGTTATTGTGATATTGCCTAGACATTATTGTTTTCTGAATTTATAAATAAAACTAAGATGGGAATTGAAAACATTCATTTTTTCGTGACTGTTGAGCTTTACAACTCTTCTTTTTTCTACGCAACACATATTTATATGTTGGTTAAGAGTATTGGCTATCAATCAAGAAATTATGGATTCGAGTCATGCGTATGTAGTGTGTGTATGAGTTTACCATAATGGCCTAAATCTCGAGCTTGTTTACAACGGGACGAGCTCGGGTTCGAGCTCTCCTTTTGAACTAGACTCGAGCTCGAGCTGAATTTTTGATTGATGAGCCGAGCTCGATAAGGCCATTACTCAACTTGACTTGACTTGTTTACACCCCTACAACTAACTAGTATAGGCTGCTCGATCAATTGATGCAACAAAATATTTTCTTTCAACTCTTAGAAGGCAAATTTGGCGAGATCAACAAGTCACTTAAAAGAAGATAAAGCAGAGAACGCCCAAAAAGAAAATTGAGGCAACTGCTAAGAAATTAATAAGTCTTTAAAAAGGACACAAGTCTGTCGATGATGATTTATACTGTTAAAAAGAGTGGCAAGATCTTAAATGCGCCCTTAAAAGAAATGTCAAATTTGAATAACAAGTTCAACTGTTAAAAGAAAAAAAAAAGGGAAGAATTTGAAGACAACTGACGAGTTCTTCGACACACTAACCCAAATTATCAAGTGTAATCAGATACGTTCCTCAAAATTTATGGAAGGAATTCACTTTTGTTTGAATAAACTCGTAGGAAAAAAATCCTCATTTAATTTACCAATATAAGGAGACTTTCAAGTTTCAAATCAATAATAGCAAATACAAAGTTCAAGTGAATGAGAATAAGAAAATGACGAGAACAATGCGACTAGCAACCAATAGTTTTTCATAAGAGATCATTTATATATTTTCTTTCTTTATAAAACTCTGTTCTTGTATAAATATTGAAATAAAATTTTAGTTCAATTCTTGCATTCACTATTTAGCTTAATTCTTTCTGTGGCTTCTGAGTAAATATGAAGTAATTTATCATGAATAAATTGAATACAGAATAAAACTTACCCAATAACTTCATCAAGTTGATGAAGTTGATGAAGTGGATGAATACTGAATAACATCATCAAGTAGTTAAATTAGGCCAATACTGAGTAAAACTTCAATATCGAGTTTAACAAATGTCGAACATAAGTTCCTCATTGGAATGGTCAAATACAAATCAAATTTTATCAATGAAGTGAACAAATCCCGAGAAGAAACTTAACAATATATTTATCAAATTAAAATACATATTGATAATAAAATTTATCAAAGATAAATGAATCCTAGTTTATAATTTTGTCGAATAGCTTAATTGCCACTCTCTGAACTTCTTACTCAATATTTATTTTCTTGGATATATCCCTAGTTAAGTTATCGACTTTAATAGGCCTCACCTTGCGCCAGACTTTGTCTTCATGGGGATAACCATTTAGATTCGACTGCTAAAAATGGACTCTTATGCTACTCAATGTGAATCTTATTGCAAAGGGAGAGTTGAGTTCTAGGGCATAACCTATGTTCCAAATGATATATTGAAAGAATAAGATATAATGCTTGAATTTTACAAAAATTCTAATATGAAATGAGGAAAGTTTAAAAGTGAGGTGAGTTCAAAACTGAGATGAGTTCAATAATAAGTTCCTAAAATAACTTTTAAATGTCCAGGTAAAATTCAAGAAATTTCTTCACAAGATAAAACCTTCAAAAAAAAAATTTTTCTGACGAAAAAAATCTACTTGACTAGTCATTTATGCTGACTTAATAAGTTATACTCGCCTGCTTAGAATGAGTTTGTTTGTTGACTTGATGAATTCCTTTTGAGCTGAGAACAAACTAACTTACATAGAACTTGGCTCGAATCCAACTTTTTGGATAATAGGTTAAATAACATATACATGTAGAAAGATAGATGAATAGATAGATAGATGAACTATTTTTCACAGTTTTTGAGCAAATGCATATGATCATGTCCTAAAATAATTCTCACATAAGAATTCAAGAGAATGGCTGAACAACCAATTTTTTCATTTATGGATTTGAATATCCATAAAAGGAAGTTTCAATATTTATGTAACTTCTTCGCCTCAACCCCCCCCCCCCCCCCCCCCCCCCCCCCCCCCTCCTCTCTCTCTCATCATTTTCTATCTCTAAGAGATTATGCATTACAAAAGAGAAACATAATGACTTTGAGAAAATTGTTTTCCATTTCACCTAGGACCAACAATCAATGACAGAATATTAGTGGCTCAACTAGCCTTGTCCTATTGAATTTATATGTCAAAGTAAAAGAAATGTCAAATCCAGTTGGAAGATTTAGAAACCTTGTAAATAATAATTCCATATTATAATATGAGAGAACTGTAACACTATGAATTGGAATACCGCAAAACACATCGCTCAGGGATTAGGAAGCAAGTTATAAAGGAATTTATGGCATTGTCCTAGTGAATCTATATATCAAAGCAAGAGAAAGGTCAAATCCAGTCGAAAGATTTACAGCCCATTGTTAATAATCATATCATATTATAATATCAACAAATTGGAATGGGGCAAAACACAATTTCATGGGATAAATGAATTTAAAACCTTCACCTATTAAATCTATATATCAAGCAAACGAATAGTTGGAAGAATTACAAGCCATTGCTAATAATCATTCTATAGAACAATATCAAAGAACTCGAGCACTTTAAGTTGGAATTCAGCAATATACATCATTCATGGGATTAGAAAGCATCTTCAAAATGATTTTTTATATTAAATCCTACTTGAAATAAAAGTTTCCTATCTGAAACTATAAACACTTGTATTGATAGCTTCTTAATTCTCAGTCACAGGCCCCTACACGCTTAATAAACATAAGCCTTCATGTTGACAATACATGAAACATATATTTTTTTAAATATACTCATAATAAAGCTATGTGGAGTCTTCAACTTTCCGCTCGCCAAACTTGGTGAAATTTTAAGGCTAACTCCTTGTTGACCCACTTAATATTCAAGATTAAACAAAAAAGATTGCTAATTGATGAAAATGAGAACTAATTATTGGTAAAAATTGAGCGGCCAAAAAATATAATCACTTTACCAGTTAAGTAACTAAATTAATTTCTAAATTTTCTATTTATTGTTAGGTTCAAACATGTGCTACATTTTTTATCCAAAAGTAATAGATGTTACAAACTATGAAAATGGAATAGTGAAATCATAATATCTCCTGTATTTTTGACGTTCATGCTTTCTATGCTTATCTGGTCAAAGATATATATATATATTTTTTCTAGTGTGTTTGGTTGAGAGAAAATGACAAAAATAGTCCCTTGACTTTATATGAAAGATCAAAATAGTCACCAACTATATTAAATGATTATTTTGATCCATCAACTCCTTAAAGATGAACCAAAATAGTATCACCATGAGATTATTTTGATTCTTTTTTAAAGAATTGAGGAACCAAAATGATTCTTTAATATAGTTGGGGACCATTTTGATACTTCATAAACAGTCAAGGGACCATTTTGGCCCTTTTCTCACTTGATCAACATTGGCTCCCACTCCATGACACTAGGAAATCTGACCCTAACCCCAGATTTTCGAAAAAGAAACCTGGGCTCTTGCTTCATTCATAAACCTAGAGTCCATGATAGCACTCAACTCTCATTGATGTTGCTAGAAACAACAATGACAAGATAAGAGTGAATTCACTTATATTATTATCTCGTAACACTACAATGGAGATCTTGATGACATGACAATGAATCCACAACGAAGATAGCCATATCAACACTTCAAATGGCAGAACAATGACTAAGGAACCCTTCTCTATATCATTTTCAGGACAAAGAATACAAGCCTCAGACGCAAACCTTTATAACGAAAATGAATATCCCAAATATGACACTCTGTTGGTAAACCCTTATTGCAAAAGTTGACAATTACCTCATATAAAGATTGTGGACACCCTTTATGCACCTCCCAAAGAAGTTCACTGATGATGCTGTGCAAGGAGGAAGATGAGATTAAGTCTATGCTCCAAAGATGAGAAGTCCCATGCTCTTAGATTAGATTTCTCTAGGAGCTTCATATCAACGTCAAGATATCTGATAATAGAAATAATTTGCAATCCTTCTCTCCGTAAAAAGATAATTACAATAATTTGGTCTCAAAAACATCTCATAAGTTTCCACCCCCTTGGCCCTATCATGGTCTCTTCAAAGCAACATTGCCTAAGCATCATTTTCATGCATGTCAGTACTAAGAACTTAATGTTTATGTGACCACTTGATGACATGAAAGAGAAGATATGCACCTTGCTCTTCCGAATTTCAAACAAGTAGAAAACCTTGGAAGCAAATCACCCTACAATGATGATCCCTAGGTCAAACTCATCACACAAAAAAACTTGCCCTGTATTGGCAAGAATGAGACATGTAACTAATCATGAATAGAAACTATTAATTCATCGATGTTGATTTACGATCAACAAGCAAGGTTATAAGGAACTGCTTTAATATACGCAAGTTCAGCTGCCTTCACATGATTACCTATTATAGATCATAATACCAATAAGATTCATCACTTCAAATGCTAGTGACCACATAAAATCCCTGGGCATAGAACTCCTCTTTTAATTAGCTATCCCTAGTCCATGTCTTCTACCACAAAAACATGACCATTAAGGCCCATTAGATGCGTAAATGTTCTTGGAAAGAAGAATATCTTATTATCAAGTAGAGATCCTCCAACTAGAATAATTCTCTCTTCTCAATGTAGGTATCTTCCCTTATTGCATCATTCAAGGCTAACACGGAAATTTACTACAAACCCCATCTTACTGTCCTTGGGACCTACTAGGAGTACTAGGATTAAAAAAATCCCTCCAATAACTTGGCTCCATATACAAGATGATAGAGACTCCTCCATATATTGTTGATCTTTAACCTAAGGTCGATGTTGTTCAACCTATTTTCATTTATTCTAGTACAAAGAAGCCTACAGATGTCTTCTATAAAGAAAACAAGTTCCAACCCATAAAACAACATAAATAGAACTTTAAATTTATAACACACAACAACAACATCAAATCTTTATCCCACTAAATCATGTCGGCTACATGAATCAATTTTCTCCATAATGTCCTCTTAAACAGTTAAAAGTCAAATTCTCATTTAAATCTAATAAACACAGACCATTTTTAATACTTTCTAACCGAATCTTTTTAAGTCTATCTCTACCTTTCTTAACATAGCCCAAATCTAATACATCTAATGTCCTAACCGGGTCATCAGAAGGCCAATACTTTTTATGTGACCAAACCATCTAAGGAGACTCCTCTAATCTTATATGCCACTAGAGCTACTCCAACTTTTTCACATATACACTCATTTCGCATTCTGTCTCTAAGTGTAAAGCCACACATCCACCTAAGCATCCTCATCTCTGCAACACTTAATTTAATTTTATGCTTCTTTTTTTATGGCTAATATTTTGTGTCATAAAGTATTGTATGTCTCATCACCATCTTATAAACTTTTCCCTTAAGTTTAAGGGGTACTTTTCTACCACTCTATAGGCCTGATGCATTCATCCACTTCAACCGTCCAACTTGAATTCTACTAATAATATCTCATCTATTTCACCATCGCTTTAAATAATGGACCTGAGATATCTAAAATGTGCACTCTTTTAATAACTTGATCACCCAAAGTCCCAACCCACCACTAGATCTATTATTACTAAAATTATATTCCATGTATTTAATTTTTGATCTACTCAAATAAAGAATTTTAGGCTCTAAAGTTAACCTCCGTAATTCAAGTTTTCCTTCTACTCCCCTCTCTAGTATTATCAACAAAAAGAATATTATTAGCAAAAAGCACATACTAGTCTACATCCTCTTGTAAATGTCTAGTAAGAAAATCCAAGACTAAAGAAAAAAAGATATGAGCTTAAAGCTAATCATTGATGTAATTCAATTGAAATAGGAAAAACTTGGTCAAACAATCTTGCATTTTGAACACAAGCAATAACACCCGCATACCTATCGTAATGACTTGAATATAAGTATTATTAACTCATTTCTTTTCTAGAACTCTCTAAAACACTTCTCTTGAAACTTTATCATATATTTTCTCTAAATCAATACATATCATATGTAGATCCCCTTTACTCTCTCTATACTTCTTCATCAAACCTCTCAACAAATGTATAGCTTCCATAGTAGACCCATTCAGCATGAATCCAAATTGATTTTGAGAAACATTAGTATGATATCGTAACCTATGCTCAATTACTCTCTCACAAAATTTTAATGTAAAACACATTAACTTAATTCCTCTATAATTTGCACACTATTATGCATCACATTTATTCTTAAAAATGGGAACTAACGCACTCCTTCTACACTCATCTAACATCTTTTTAGTCTTCAAAATAATATTAAAAATTTTAGGAAGCTAAGAAATTCCTTGATCTCTTAAGTATTTCCCCACTTTTATTGGAATATCATCATGTCAACAATTTTTTCACATTTCATTTTCTTTAAGCCTCTTCAACTTCAATTTTGCTAATACGAAGATTAAAAATAAAATTCACTCTTTTCATTTATAGGGTGCTAAGATCACTAAAATCAATCATATTCTCATAGTCCTCACTAAAAAGCTTATCGAAATATCTCATTCATCTATGTTGAATATCCACTTCTAAGAAAAACATTTTTTTATCTACATCCTTAATGCACTTAACTTGAACTGGATCATAAGTTATTATATCTCTTTGTTTAGCTAACTTAAGCATACAACTTTCGCCCTCCTTAGTATCTAATATATTATATAAATCACTAAAAGCTAATTTTTTTCATCATAAATTGCTTTCTTAGAGTTCATACAGACCTCTCTACATATTTCCCCATTTTTTTGAACTCTTATATATAAACTATTTTTCTATAACAAAGCTTGTAATTTTTATTTTTTTTTCACATTTTGATTCCACCACCACTTTTGATTCGTCAAGCATATAACTTGCAACTTTCTTAATACTACTGGTTACTTTTTTCACATAACATTATCTTCATCATGAATAATTCAAAGCTTAAGATCTTAAATCTTTTTATGAAAAATACTTTTATAAACGTTCTTTAAATACCATCATCTAATCTAAGACAACATTTTACTTTATTTTTTATATTTCACCCTTCCTCTTAAAGTTCAAAATTAATAAGCAATGTTGAGTATATAAATTTTCACTTGGAATGACTTCACAATCTTTGCAATCTAAATGAACTATTTTTCTTATAAGGAAAAAAAATTAATTTGAATTTTTATATGTCTATTCTTGTAAGTGATGAGATGTTCCTCACTCTTTTTAAATAATATATTAGCAATTGCAAAATTATAAGCTAAAAAAAATTTAATATGATCATACCACCTTCATTAGTCGCTTCAAACTTATAGCCACCATGATGCTTTTAAAATCTTCTACCACTCCACTAATATGTCCATTTAAATCTCCTCCTATAAAAACTCTTTCTTTAAGAGGCATCATTTGTATTAATTTTTTAAATTATTCCAAAATTTAAATTTTAGACACATCCAAACCTACTTGAGAAACATAAGCACTTATAATATTAATAATCTTAGTATCAACAATAATCTTTAAAGCTATAATTGTATTTTCAACTATATTAAATTCTACAATATCATCCTCCATATTCTTATCTATAATCGCACCTACACCATTTCTAGTACAACTTCTACTTGAATACCAAAGTTTAAATCATAAGATATCAATCTCCTTATCTTTCTCTCCAACCCATTTAGTTTTCTAAAAAAATAGAATATTTATTTTCCTATAAATTATAATATCTACTAATTACATTAATTTGCTTATAAGAGAACCTATATTCTAAATTCTTATTATAATTCTAATTTCATTGACTAGCTTCTTTTCCCACATCCACCCATGATGTAGGAGTCCTTGCTTATTTAACACTACTTCTGGACATTGATGCAGCGGCCCTTGCACACTTTTCACTGTATTCAGATCATACAACATGTAGCTTTCAAGGAACACCCTAGCATTAACACGTCTTTAAATTTATATTGAATTTAATTTATCTTTGATTGAATTGAATAAGCTAGAAGAGAATGTCTTCAATTCAGCTGAAATAATAGAAGACAACTTCCAGCCCATAAAACAAAATAAATTCATCATTAAATTTAAACTTTGTTTGATAGATCTTTGATTGCATTGAAATAGTTAGTATATTATGTCATTTATTCATGCTAGATAAAGCAGTTATATATGAGAAGTTTATCAAAGAATGAAAGAAAGCACATGACAAAATTAGAAACGGTCCAGCTACCACATCATGGGATTTCAAATAATATAATTAAAATTCAAAATACAACATCAAGAGATTTCAAGCTGAAATCAGATAACTCCATTCAATTTATAGTACTACAACAAACCAAAACTACTGCAAAACATGGACAAACTCCACCAAATCAACATCATCAAGTCGTGTAAAATGGCTTGTATATTGGGGACAGAGAATGTAACACCTTTCTAATATAACTTCTTTTCCTTATTTGATTGTCTTAATGTTCTTCTAAGGGCATGATCATACTGCTTCAGGAGGACGCTGTGTGCTAAACAAAGTTTTTCATCAATAAGATCCTGGTACTTCTCATACAATGCAGGAACCGTGAGAGAAAGAACAACGCCTGCAGCCAAGTCAAGAGAAAAAAAATTAGGCCAACAACACGGGAGGTTTTCCACATCATTTTTTATTACTAATCACAAAACAATACTCATGCAAAATGAAGCTGTTTATAAAAAAATAGCAAAGAAACTCACCAATATAGACAAAGGTGAGGAAGCTGAATAAACCGCCAATATAAGAGACAATCCATAACACCAACATTACCTAAGAAATTAGTCAGAATTTGATCAATGTTTGTCTCCAACGTGTGAGAAACGAAAGTAGATGGATAAATACCTTAAGGAAAACCTTCCTGTCCCTTCCAATGGCAATATCACGTGCAACAGACAATGCATGATTGATCCATACCCGCGCCTCACCCGAAACCCTTCCAACGACCTCCTCTGAAACCTCGAGTTTGGGAAGCGGAGGGAGAGGTCTGAATCAAATATTAACACCCGATACAAGGTCATACCACGAACAATTAATGCCTCAAGTAAGAAAACAGAATATGGCGGTGAAACCTATTAAGAAGCGACGCAGATTTCGCCCAGAAGAAGAGGATGGTGACCAAAAGAAGCAGCGAGTTCGCGGCCAGAGACAGCAACCCGTACCCGGCCAATTCAAAGAGGATCCAGAAGACAGTAGCAGCCCCAGCCACAGAAGCCGTCGCAGTTGGGTTCCTCCAAAGTAAGAGATCGGCAACTGCATCAAGGTAGAACCCAATAAAAAAGTTTAACAAATCAGCATCGTCTCGCAGAAAAAGGAGGGGCTCCAGCTACAAGGAAAAAGAATATTAGGTTGAGAGACCTGCGCCGCTGCCGAGAGCAGCGTGGACGGATCGACGTCTTCGGCCAGAAGCAGGAGACTGGGGAGATTCGGGGATGGAAGGCCGTCGGTCTAGGTCGAACGATGCCGCAGGAGCCATCGAAGCAATCGATCTAGGGATTGGACCAGGGATTCCCGTCGCCGGCGGATCTCCTCCAATGGTGGAATAATAAGGAAAGAGTAATCAAATAGCAAATGAAAAAACTTCAGTTTGCAGTAAAATGATAAAATCAAAATGGAAATGGAATTGGAGATGATGAACTCGTTTCTTCATTTGCAAATTTTGCAGGGCCTTTTTTTTTGTTCTTTTTTCTGGAAGTTTTATAAATATTTATTTAAAAAAATATTTACACTTATTATTATAATAATTATAAATTTAATAACTAAAGAAAAAAATTTATGGGAAAATAAATAATTGATGTTTTGAGAGAGACTCATTTGGTATAGCTTTTTTATTGTTTTCTAAAATTATTTTTTAGTATAAAAATTTTTAGTTTAAAAAATATTTGCACTAAAGAATTATTTTTAAAAATAAGAAAGTTGTCCACTTGTCCCAAATTATTTTAGTACAAAATTTTTTAAACTAAAAAATTTTGTATTAGAAAATTGTTTTAAAAAGTAATAAAAAAGTTGTCACAAAGGAAGCCTTGATTTTGTACAAAAAGCCGCATGCATGAATAAAAGTAATTTATAGAGACATTAAAGTTTTTACATAAAAATCTAAAAAAAAAAAGAGCTATGGGGACTTGCTTAGTTAAAATAATATGTTATATAAGTAAAATTACATATGTTTGTTTTTCCCCTCAATTGGAATAGATGAGATCAATGCATGGATTATTACCTTCATCCTTGATCTCTTGTGAATGTGATGTAGAATACTGAATAAGTTATAGGAAATGAGAACGATGATCATGATAAACGTTAGCCAATATATGTATGTGTCGACAATGAGCTGGTGTGAATAGAAGAATTTTATGTGGTGATGGCAACCAAGTAATGTTGGTCAAGTGATAGTAGTTGAGCAATGATGGTCGGCTGATAATGATCGTTGGATAGAGAGCCTTGGAGTTATTAATATATGTAAGCTCTATCTTATTTCATGTAAAGAATTATGGTCTATTTAAATTAATTTTGAGTAATTATTTAAAAATTTTAGCAAAAATCGACGAACACTCTATCAAACAACCCATGTTAAATCTCTCAATTATAAATTGTTTCTCATGCATTTGAGTTCCGTATTAGCACAAAAATTGAGTAATCTTGTGCTTGTTGAATTGCTCTCGTTGAGGCTCGATTTGCCAAAGAGCCTGCAAGATTAAAAAATCACTGCTTTCCTTAAATAGTAATATGAATTTTTCAACTATATTTCAAGTGCTTGAGTTGGGCTCATTCTGACTCGAATCAAAACACTTTTGATGTCATTGGGCCATTCTCATACAAATGTTTGTTTTGACTATAAGCTTGTTGAAATTGGAATTTGAATAGTCTTAGATTTAATTCCACAAGTTTTTAATCAAACATTGAGATCAAGCATTGTGACAAGCTTAGTGTTTGATCAAATGGAAATTTTAGTGACATATCAACTGTACGTATTTATTCATCATCTTTGAGGTTTTAGTTTAATCAATTACTTTAACTTGTACAATTAAATGCATTCTACAACACACACAAGCACAAAGTTAAATATATTTGAATCATCAATTACATCTACGTATATATTTAATTGTTCATTTAAAATTTATCTCTAGGTTTTAATAGATTTAAGCACATGCATTGTTACATGTTATTATTTCTATCTTTATACTATAGTTAATTATCTTGTCAAACACTTAGCACAAGATAATATCAAATAGAAATTTTTATCATAAATCATTGATTAACATATTATAAAGCATATAATAGACATAGAGGTTGTCATAGGGTCAACAAAATATTATATTAAATGAAATTTTTTTAAAAGTCCACATTATTTTTAAAAAAGAGTTGATCTCCTAGGGGTTGTTTGATTTGCGGTATTTTTAAATATGTATTTTGAGAATTTGATGGTTTATTAGAGTGAATTTCAAATGCAATGTATTTCATTGATGAATTTAAAATTCACTGTCTAGTTAATTTTTTGTGCATTTGAAAATCAACCGACTTAGCTGATTTTCAAGTACAATGAAAATTCTCCACTACCTGTTGCCCCAAGTCATCATTGACCATCAGCCGCCTTCTCAGTATCGCCACCACCACCACCACCAATCATTATCAACTACCGATAGGCTCTAACCAAGCTTGTCGTCGATTATTGTCCACCGCCTATCATTATCCCACCACAAACCACCACGTTATCATCTTCATCACTTTACGTGAATTAACATTATTTCAAACCTAAAATAAAAGGTAATCTTATGCATTTATTTTACACATATACAAATAATTTTGATTTATTTTTTACTACATTCCTTCTTCAACAAAACAAATGGCCCCTCAAAGAAATTTAATTTTATAATAAATAAAGTTAGTTTATAATTTATAAGATTCTAAAAATTTAACTAGAACTCCATGCTTTAACCTAAACTTATTACCTTATAAGTATTTTTCTCTTCTCATTTCTACATTATTTAATTATTTTGCACTTTTTTTTTGTCTAAATTAATTTTCTCTTAAATCAAATACGTTACTTTCTTATTACATAATTTTAATGTCAATTTTTAAATATAAATAACCAATTTATATTTATGAATGTTTCAAGATAAGACATTTGCAACAATAGAGAGTTAAAAATCTTAATTTTGTGGAAAGATCCATTGCATACACATAAAAAAAAAAAGAATACAAAAAAATTTATACATGAAAAATTGATTACACCATGCATGTTGTTAATACGAGCATTATGAATGAATATGAGTATGTGGTTGGGTAAAAATTGGTTATTGTTATTTTAATAAATAATAATAATAATGTGTGAAAATAAGCTAGGGCTGTTGATTTATTAATATTGGCTGGAGACTGACTAACATGTACAGGATAGTGTGCCGATGGGTTTAATTTTCTTTTTAATATTGTGGTTTGATATTATCATTTGCTAATTCAAGTGATTCATTGATTGAGAGCTATAAAGAGTTCTTACTGTATCGACGTATGGGTAAAGAATGACTACTCAGTTTATTGGGCCAATGATTATTAATTACTGACTTACTAATTGTAACTCCCCAGAATTAAATTTGAAAAAAATATCTATTTATCATTTATTTGTTTTGGTCAAAATATATGCTATTAGAATCTACACTCCTTAGAAAAATATCATCATCGATATTTTCATGGATAAAACAAATCAATAAAATAAATTGATTCATAAATCTGTCAAAATAACTCAATATGATTTAAAACAAATATCAAAATCAATAAATCAATTAAAATCCATTCAAGATCTTAAAAATAACGAATGCAATCAATCAAGAGTTCCTTCAAAACAATCATATTCCCACATATCATTCAAGCACAATATATTATGTAAATTACTAATCAATCAATTTAAGGATTGAAAATTCTACCAATGGGGCCTCCAGATGCATTCCTACCCTTATGTTGGATCAAACTATAACTCTTGGTTTTACATGTGGCAGCATTGGTGTAGCAGACTGCGTAGGTCCTTTTATGACTTTCAACCACTCTTCTTTCATCTATCCTGGTCACAAACCCTTTACTATATCTCTAGATCCCATGACCCTCTTTTAACACCCCTATGAATCCATATCTTATCCCTTGTCTCTATAGTAGACAATCAACTATCGGGTGTCCTCACTGCCCACATCTAATTAAATTAATGTCCAATTATTAAAAAATACGGTCCACTATGTCTCTTACCACATCATGCACACTCCAATACACCCACACTTGACTCTGACGCATATCCTCTCATGTTATTAGAAAATCTACCCCTCTTTTCACTGATCTTTCTCCTAGTTATATCATCTCCCAACCTCTTATTGCTCGTATCCTATATGAATAATAAAATAGCCAAGTCATTCTCCACCAGTCTCGCTCTCTCAACCAACTTCAAAACTCTTAAATTCTTAGTAGTACAAGTGGATGCCCCAATTCATCTTTTATTCGTCAAAAACATGTAGCATTTTTTGTCAGCAATATTAATCAGTTGTTGTGCATACCTAGCTAGTGCAATAAACTTTGCATCATAATACATCAATGTCATATTCCTCTACTCCAATCTCATAAAAGCCTCATGTATTTATTGTCGGGCTAAAGGAGGTACAAATCAGTCTCTAAAAATAATAATAAACTCTATCTAGATGATCTATGCATTCATCTTTTCTTTGAATTTCTCCTGTTGTTGTCATGTTCACCATCTCTCTACTTCTCCTTCAAATAAGAACTCAATAAGAGGTGTTTTTTTTTTCCTATGGGCAGCACATGTTGAGGTATTAGATTTGACTTATGTTAAGAAAGGTAGAGGTAGACCTAAAAAGGCTTGGTTAGACAATATTATAAATGATATTTATTTATTAGATTTAAATGAAAATTTGACTTTTAACCGGACACAATGGCGAAAAAGGATTCATGTAGCCGACCCCACGTAGTGGGACAAAGCCTTGTTGTTGTTGTTGTTGGCAGTACATGTTATCAAATATCTTCCAATCCTCAACAATCAGTCCTCTGCTACCAGTGGTTCTACAACTCCCTTGAATAATGAGAGCTTTAACTTATGGAACATCTTTAGATGTGTGTCCCCTTCTGACTCCATGTGTCCCACGTGTCTACTCCAAGCATCACTTATAACCTGTGTAAACATGGTAGCAAACACATCAAACTATCAAAACTCATTAGAGTTGCTACTGCATTATGTCCATTATGTGTATCCAGATCAGCAGGGTCCATCTATCTACTGATAAAATTCTTATTCCTAATCAATAACATACAAACTCAATATACATACATATAAATTTCATCAATCAAATGCATAAATGAAAATCTACACTACCCAACTTCTTCCCCGCTCAAAATCAATTCCTATAGCTCTGGCTACATTTCAATTCTTCAAATAACCACTCTGACACCAATTATGATGCCCTAAAATCAATTTTAAAAGAATTATTTATTTATCATTTATTTGTTTGGATAAAAAAACATGCTATTACACTAACTAATGAAATAACATCACTAAAACGTGAACTTATTACTTATTTAGTGTGATTACTAAATGCATATTATTGCCTTGTTGCCATTATATTGTTTTATTAATTATATTATTATTTTACTATTAATGCCATCAATTTTATGGATAATGATATTGTTACTAATACTACAACTAATTCTTTGTTATTGTTACTACTATTAATTCACTATTTACAGTCTCACAATCACTAAGCACGTGACTCTTATTACTTAGCATATGATATAATATATTGATTTAATGATACAAAATAGTTGAATATCATATGCATACTCTTATATGATTTTCTTATATTAATATAATTCTAACAGTCTTTATAGACATTTTAGCTTTACTTATTTATATGATTATCTTATTAATTTGATAGTAATGCAACGATGACTATTTTATCAATTCGACACCTATACTGATTTATTGGTTTACATATTTCACTATTTTCATATTGCAATATTTTATAGGCCTATGTATTGTGTTATTCCATTGCATTACATATTTATTGCTATTGAATATGATTTACTATATTTGCACAAAGTCATGTCATATTGACTCTTATTTTTATGAACTGATTAATGATATGCATTTTACTTTTTTATCATGCTTTGAGTTGAGTTGTAGGATTTAGTAAGCTGTTTTAGCTCATTATATGCGATTTAAATGATTTCAAGTCAATAGAGAGGATTGGAAGTGTGAGACTGATTAGTTACAAGATTCCTCGGGTTGTACTGTTATTTTTTTATTTTTATTTTTTTGACTTTATATATTCTTTTATACTCAAGAGTGAAAAGAGATGTGTTGTATTTGTATGACTCCTAAATAATGTATATAGTTTTTTTAAATATGAATACAAATGTATATTGATATTTTGATTAATATATTCATTTTTTGTGATATTTATATTATTGATAAAAAACTAGATAGTTCTTATTACTGTTATTATAAAAGATAAATAAAAAAGAATTCTTCCAATTTAAATTATGGGGAATATTTGGTAAAGGACTACATTAGAATCCAATTGAATTTGTTTGACAATCCTATAGTGATTGATTGATAAACTTATAAGGATCTAAGAATCAATCATAATCAATAACATGTGGCTTGAATCCCATGGGAATGAGATGCTAGATAATAATATTGATTAAAGGTGAAGACTCTTACAAATTATAGTGAGTAGTAAGTTCCTTAAAGAAAAATCTTCTTAAATAAGACATCAAACTCGTCTTTTATAGCATCACATGAGGCATCAAGCCATCAATAACAAAAAGTTAGGTTAAGTCTACCAAGGGTACATGAGAGTATAAGATCAGCCTAATAACACAAGATGGATAAATTAAATTAGCAGTATTCAAGAGATCGTAATGAAGCTATGGTGGAGGAATAATGATTGGGAATTGCATGAATGGCATCAAATTGATCAACCTCAAGTGCAAAGATCATGCCATCAAATTGATCAATCTTAATTTGTTGTTGATTTTATGGTGTTTGAACTCTTTGTTGTCTAACCTCTTCTATGAGATAAATGATTGGAGCTTGATACACCTCCATCTTGCTGATGCAAACTTCTATGAACAAGCAAAAGGGACATTCACTAGATAGATTATGACATCCTTAATTAAAGGTCTAATTTTTGAATTGATTTGTGTTGGAACAAGAAAAATTATTATGGTGGATATTACTTCTGTCCACCTTTGAAGAAATGTTTGCATAATGTTGGGAGTATTTCTCATAGATTATGTCAAAAAGTTGTGTGCTGGAATATTTGTAAAATAAGAGAGAGAAAATAATATCTTAATTTTATACAGAAATCTTCCACACATATAAATAAAAGTAAGAGTGTCAAAAAATAACCCGACTCGCCAACCCGACTCCAAAAATCTAGATTCAGGTTGATCCGGTTAATAAATAGGTTAGATTCAAGTCGTGCATTTCAACCAATTTATTAAATAGGTCGAGTTCATGTTAACAAACCAACCCAATTTTAACTAAAAAAATACCGGTTTAATAACTTTTTTCTTAAATTCTTTTATTTATTGGTAAAATCTTTTTATTTTTAATCAATTAGCCTATAAATATTTATATATATGCTACAAGAAAGGCATGTTCGGATTCAATATTTTGACCCATTTATTAAATGGGTCAGATTCTGTCATTTGAGTTAACTGGATTTTGGTTGGGTCAATTTCGGGTTAGACCGAAACTCGACCTATTGGCTTGTTTGGACATCCATGGATAAAATAATGTTGTTAGAAGCATCATTTTTTCTTTTGTGAAAAATTTGGAAAGGGGAAAAATAATGGACTTGGCCTAGTTGAATTAATCCACTTATTAAGAAAGAATATCTACATCCACTATTCCTCTCAATTGGAGAAAATGTGATTACAAAGTTAATAAAAAAAAAGCTAGATCTCCAATGATTGTTGTGGAGATTATTAGAGAAGCAGTAAAATGTGATGACATTCAAATAACAACAACTTGGCTATGACAATCAGGCAACACAAATAGAGATTATAGTTAAATAATGGTAATAAAATAACAAAAATCAGACTATGATAATCAAGCAATGACGGCGAGGTGATGATGTTTTTGGCGATGGTGGTTTGGTAATGACACTTGTTAATAATGGTTATTAGTATTGATCAGCGGTTAGGGTTCTAATTTTTTAGGGTTCTAATTTTTTAGGGTTCTTGATATCTCAAAGTTCTATCAAAATTAAAGTCAATATTTAGACTCGTCTTGTTGAAATGTTCATTTTGAATGCACATTTGCTAAAAATGGGGGTTTGTATGGTTATAATGTTTTTATCTAGTTATTATATCAAGATTAATACTCGATCAAATAGATTTATTATGATATATCAATGAATAATCAAATTCAAAAACATTTATCTATAAAACTAATTTAATCCAAATAATAATCTTATTTAGATTTTGAATAACTAAATTCTTCTAGGCTAAGCTTGCTGAAATAACAAGATGAGCACATCTAGTGATAATATTCAGCACAACATAACTATCATTATAAGCTAATATTTTTGTTATGGTAGATAGAAAGTATTTAATACCTTGACTTTATATGAAAACTCAAAACCACACACAAATAATAGAAGAGCTGCAAGATATATCAACATTTTTATATGAAAAATCAGAAAAGGAAAAAATCAGAGGGTTCGATCCATTTGACATAATTCCACAAACATATATTATTGGTTACAAATGATACCATGTCTGGTAATTGAGGAATATAATGATACAATATAATAGACATGAACTATAAATAATGAATTTCATGATTCAAATTGGAGAGGCCTTGGGGAAATGAATTTGTCTTTATAAGATCATTCGTGATATATTCGGGCATTTTTCTTTGATGAGAGAGTACTAGAAACAAAGAAGTCTAGTTTAAATATTAGTCTTCCCATTAAGAAATGAAGTTGATGTCGACGGGTCACATCAGTCATACAGACGATATCATTTAAGAACATTGATGGTGACAAACTTAGCGGATATCAATTTTGGTGTTGAAGGTATGCATTGGCTTTATGGACGATGTCGAGTGTTGATGTTCGTGGCAACTGAGGGCGACAAAGTTGGTGGGCACCAATGTCAGTGTTGATAGTGTGCATCAACTTTATAAGCAATGACGTGCATCAATATTAGTGCTAACATGGAGTGCTAATATTTGTATGGATGACATGTATCAATCTTATAGGCAATGACACCACATTCAACGATAGTGGTTTAACAATGACATCATGATGTTGGTGGTTTGGCAGTGGGTTGATGGTAGTGTTTTGTTGGTGGCAACCCGACAACAATGGTCCAGCGGTAGCAATCTAACGATATTGGTCAGATGATGATATTTCAAGATAGTGGATCTCTAGGATTATTCAAACCTGTAAGCTAACTCTGATATCAAGTCCTAATCCGACCCGTATTTCATGATCATAGTGGTTGTATGTTTATGACTTTATGAGTGACATTCAATATAACATAGCCCAAATACAAAACATTCCATTACATGGTTCGAAAGTGATCCCCTTGATCATAACCTTTTGTTTTGAAAGTTTGAGGGCATGAGATACTCAAATTGGTTATAAATATTTATTTTATAATGAAATTAAGATGTATTTAAAATACAATGAATTTGAATATAATATATTTAAAACTCAATTGATTATTATTATTATTATTATTATTTGATTGATCTAATGAAATTAAGAACTAAAAAAATGAAGCAACCAAAGATCAGAGGGGCTATCTTGATCGAACTAGGCGGTGACCTAAATATTAAATGTACAAATTGATAAAAAATTTATGATACTAAAGGCTCCTACTACTTGCAATCAGGCATGAACTTTCTATCTTGTGATGTGCCGTAGAATCCCTGTCCTGCCATTTCGTTTTCCTGTGTTCGGAGATGGGACGACGAAGTCACGATCCGCCAGCAATCCATCCATCACATAGAAGAAAACGAAAAGTAGAAGGATTGATTAAAAAAATTAACCATGGTGGATTATCCAATGCCGCCCGAGGACGGCAGCCCTTCAATGTCTTCGTCGGCGAGCCTTTGTCTAGCTCCTCATCATTTGTCCAACGCCCTCTTCACCGCCGCTTCGTGGCGCTATGGGCTGCGTCCAGACTAAACCAACTTCCAACTCGCCTCCGCGCAGCCTTGCGAAACTCAAGTCCGACCATGGTTATGTGCCCGTCGGCGCCACAGGAGGTCGTCCTCCTCGCCCTCCTCGACCTCGCGAAGTGGGGGCGGAAACTGTATCGGAGCAGAAGAGGCCTCCACAGCCCCCTCCACCTCCTCCGCCTCGACAGCTCGTCGCCAGCGTGGATGAGTTGGTGGACGGGTGGCCGCGTTGGCTTGTGAATAACATACCGAAAGATGTTCTCGCTGGTTTGGTGCCCAAGAGTGCCGATTCATATGTTAAGATTGATAAGGTATCTAGATTCGCTTTCTGAAACTTTTGTTGTATATTTCGTGCATTTCTATCATTATGATGGATGGTTGAAACGTTTTATTCATTGCTTTTCCTAGGCGGCTTGTAAAGTTTTTTCTTAGTAAAAATTTTTAATGATGAATTTTAGGAACTAAAAATCATCACTGTTATCTGTTTAAATCCCCCGTGATCTTTTTTTATACTTAAAAGAGTAGGCTGGTAGCACTTGGGTTACTAGAGTGATTTGTGATATGCTGAAGGTCGATAAGAAAGTTGTATTGAGTATCGAAATTTCATATTTTCTTTTTTATTGTTGAGAGTAAGAGAATGCCATTAGATATTATATGATAATATTTAGATCTATACAAGGTAAAACGTGGAAGGATTAAATAAGAACTTTCATAAATTATGGGGATAACTTGAATTGAGAGGTAGAATCAAAGTTACATAAATTCCTATGTTTTTCCCCTTAAACTATGGATAAGAATCAAAGTTCTTGATGTGAAGGGAAAGTAAGGAGAGAAACTAGGTAAAAACTTCTTTTAGGTTTCGTTTAGGACAGCTTTTTTATTGCTTCTTGAAGCAGTTTTTTAGTATAAATATTAAAAATTTTATACAAAAAAGCAGATTCAAGATGAAGTAAAAAAGCCGTCCCAAACGAAGCCTTAGTTTTTCTGGTTTCTTTTTTTTGGATGGGTTGGAGTGGGCTAGGGAGGTTTGGACCCATAGCAATTTGACATGGTCTATGCAGCTGGCAATAGGTTCCAGCTGACAAGTGTAGAGGTTATCTGAAGAAACAAAAAACGGAAAGCTATATTCTAATTACCACCAAATGCAAATGGAAGATTATGTGGATCAAAAGTTTCCTGACACAAATTTGTTTCAAGAGTGCAAGAGAAATGATCAAAAGAAAAGGATATTTGATAAAAAATTTAGCAGATTTGTATAATAATTACAAGACCATTATTTTGTACTGTAAAATAACTCTCAAATTCATTTTATGGCTTGTGACAACATTGTGCTGCTTTATATTTTTGATCAAATAATCTTTTCTTTTGATCATTTGTCTCCCCCACACCACTCTTGTTCCACAATCTATCTCGCTATGCTCCTTGAAGAAACTATGTAATTATTTTGTTTACCTAGCTTTATTGATGGTTTTTATGATGCAGGTTGGCCAAGGCACATATAGCAACGTTTACAAAGCCCGGGATAGGGATACTGGGAAGATTGTTGCTTTAAAGAAGGTTCGCTTTGATACAGCGGAATCTGAGAGTGTTAGGTTTATGGCAAGAGAGATTATGATAATGCAGAAGCTGGACCATCCAAATGTTCTTAAGCTTGAAGGGCTTGCCACATCGAGAATGCACTACAGCCTTTATTTAGTGTTTAATTTCATGCAATCTGATTTGACTGGAGTTATCTGTCGCCCTGGTGGAAGGCTTACTGAACGACAGGTTCTTATAAAATTTATCTTGTATTAAAGTTCATTTTATACTTTTTGAGGTGCCCTTGAAGTTAAAAGCACTTTTTTACTTAGCTTAAGGTTTCGTTTGGGACGGCTTTCTTACTGCTTCTTAAAACAACTTTTTAGAATTAAAATTTAAATTTTATTCTAAAAAGTTGCTTAAAGAAGCAGTAAGAAAATAATCCCAAACGAAGCCTAAACCTATTTGTTACGTCAAATTTTTAATGAGTGCATGCTTTCTCTGCATCAAAATTTTTTTTTTTCTTTTTTGCTTTTTTTTTTCTATTTCACCTATAATTTTATTGTAAATAGTAGGGGTGTCAATTTCGGGTCACGGGTCGAACCCGAAATTGACCCGGCACTATTCGGGTCAACCCGAACCCGACCCATTTTTAAAAACAGGTCGGTTTTCCGGACCCGAACCCGACCCTCTTCGGGTCCGGGTCAACTCGACACGACCCGTTTCCAACAAAAAAAAAATTGATAATTTTCGGGTTAAAAAATGGGTCAATCTCCTTTTTTTCGGGTCAAAATTGGTCAAAATCAGGTCAATCTCGGGTTGCTGGGTCAAAATCGGATTTTTGGGTAAAAAATGGGTCCCTTTCGGGTCAATTTCAGGTCAAAAGGTTAACCCGAACCCGACCCAATTTTTGAAACGGGTCGAAATGTTGAACCCGGGTCGGGTTCGGGTTGATCATAAACCCAAATTTTCGGATCGAGTTTTCGGGTCGTGTCAAATATTGACACCCCTAGCAAATAGTTCATTTTGTTATTCTTGTTGAAATAAACTATTTTAGCTTCTTCCTCCATTGGCTTTAAGAAATTTCGTTCACATTTTAATATTTTGCCAATAATGAATTTCTATGCAAATGTCACATTCTAAAATTTTATGAACTATTTTATATAGATTAAGTGCTACATGCATCAATTGCTATCTGGTCTTCAACACTGTCATGAGAGGGGGATCTTACATCGAGACATTAAAGGGTCCAACCTTTTAATAGATAAAGATGGAGTGTTGAAAATAGGTGATTTCGGCCTTGCAAATTACTTCAATGTCAAGCCAAAACGACCACTTACAAATAAAGTGGTAACCCTATGGTACAGAGCTCCTGAATTGCTTTTAGGCTCTACAGATTATGGGGTTGGTATCGACCTTTGGAGTGCAGGTTGCCTTTTGGCTGAGATGTTTTTTGGACGACCTATCATGCCAGGAAGGACGGAGGTTAGACTATTTTCTATGTTTAAATAAAAAGATTACAGGCGTCTTCTAATGGAATTGTGTTACTCTTTTTTTAGTCTTTTAAGGCTTTTAATTTCTCTCATTTCTTTACTGCTCATACAAAAGGATATTTTGTGTTTTTGACAAAAACCTCTTTGAAATTAATATGTAATTTTGACTAAGATCTCCTTTTCGTCCATTTCATGATTTTAATCTTGTAAACTTTTGGGGTAAATTTCCTCGTAGATCTGTCTGTCTGTTGTTAGTTGTTCAATTAATAGCTATTAATGATGTTATTAGCATAATGAATGCGCATTGTGTTAACAAACCTTTCGATAAGTTTTTTTTGGGGAATGAGTTTATTGTGCTCTGTGTTTCATTTTCAAGATGCGAGGTCACAAGCTACAAGGTAGTGAAACATGCTAAATTTGTGCTTATTGAAGCTTAATTTAATGAAGTCCACAGGAAAAAGTTGAGTTTCTTGATCATAATTAGCCTCAAACTTGTTACTGTTATCTACTGGTGTGATTTATTTGACTAAAGTTAAGCATTTTATTTTTGTTTGTTCTTGCTTTGTGGAGAACTGTGTCACTAAAAGACATTAGTAGCATAGCTTGCTAAGTATGTACTCGCCTTGCTAAAACTTATTTATGGGATGCTTGATTAGTTAAAAAAATGACTATGAATTAAAATAAAAAAATGCCTGAATAGTTATTTCTCTACGGTTGATTTATTGCAAAATTTGCGCATTTACTTATACGTGAAATTATTCTGTGCGGATACGGACGTCGTCCGAAGGCGAATAGGAACGCACCACGTCACCCGTTTTCTGTGTAACGAATAATGTGGCACGTTCTGATTCGCCTCCGGACGATCAGTGTCTGCACAGAATAATTTCTCCACTTACACGTTGGAGCTCACTTTTAGCCGTAAGAACCTGCCTTTAGCCTATTTATGCAGCTTTTCTAAACTAAATTCTAAATGTCGTCAATTTTTCCGTAATTATTTGTAGGAATTCCCTTTGCAGTGCATAGATTATTCAGCCTATTAAAAATTCCCTTAGGGGCTGTTTGGTATCGGATTTACAGCGGGATTTAAGTCGGATTTATGCTAAATCCAGCCAAACAGTTTTTGTGCGCGTGTTAAATTCTGGGATTCGGTAAATCCCGGATTTACGGATTTACGGCTTAAATCCGGGATTTAGTAAATCCGAGGGGTAGCCGGATTTAGTAAATCCGAGCGGGATTTATCCGAAGAAGCGCGCGAAAAGTATGGCTGAGGTGACAGGTTTTTTTTTTTTTTTGTAGATCACAGTTCCATAGTTGAGAACTTTTTTTTTTGCTGCAAAGATGCTGGAGTAGGGGTTGTGGAAGATACATTATCTTCATATTTTTAATGAAAACTTCAATTATTTTCTGCATAACTATTGGTACTATACAGTTTGCATCTTATATCAACTTGTTAAACAAATTTCTTTTCAGATAATTAAAATCGCCGTAGTTCATTTATTTGTATGTCAATTTTTTTAACGAAATTATTCATGATAAGTTTTAAATATCACCTTGATATTCTACTTGAACTCTTGCCTTGTATTATGGTATTTGTTATGTTAACGTGACAAATAATTGATTGGTAGTACGATGCTTAGGCTAAATAAAATCAGAATGAAGCGATCTTTTTACACCGTGTTTGACAAAGATATTTTTGATTCCGTGAGCGACAACAAGTCATCTAATGCCATCTATCCCAAAAAAATTGGTTCCGATCTTGATTGGAGAGTTTTTGAAGCACGAAAGGGTATTACTCATGAATATATTCTATATAATTAAATTGAAAATGCAAGGTTAATTTAATTATCATCTTATTACATTTTCCCAAAATTTTTTATAGAAATGAAGAGGTTCTTAAAGGGAAAAGGGTTGGTTCATGGTAGCTCTAGCTCCCAACGTCATGCAGATGAAGTTATCTCCAACAATCTTAAAAGCACATCTAGAAATCCTAGGTGGCCCGAGGAGCACAATGTTGTGCTGGCCGAGCTTCTATTCGAGCAATTCGTACATGGTAACATATGTAATGGTAACTTAAGGAAGGAGCAGTGATCTAATAATGTTTTATGCAATGATCTTGATCTCATAAATATATTTTTTAAATTTAAATCCCTAACCGTCATAAATCCGATATATCTTACCAAACAGTTTCTCAGGATTTAACAGTATTTAACATATTGCATACCAAACAGTTTTCAGGATTTAACACATTTCGGATTTACTAAATCCGGATTTACAAGATTTACTAAATCTCACTAAAGTTAAATCCCACTTGTTGCCAAACAGCCCCTTAATGTTATTATTATGAGTATTGTTTTGCTAACTTCAGCATACTGGCGAATCTTATATGAAAATCTATCCTGAGTTGCAATGAAAAGCTTTCCAATGTGTTGACTCACCCATGATGCTGGAAATTTAATCCGACTCTTTCATTTCATACCTCTCTCCCTTTAATCAGTGCCGCAGAAGTTCCCTTTATCTTTAACCTATTTCATTACTTACATCTCATCCAAACGAAAAATAAAAAATAAAAAAATAAAAAAAAGAGAAGAAAATACATTTCATCCAAACGAATGCACTTTCTGAAGCTGATATTCACATCAAATTTTTAAGCTTGTTCTTGGTTTGAGGTCTGGGCCGCTGCCTTAGGAGAAGAGTTGTGATCCCGTTCCTTATTGATTCCTCATAGGGCACTCATCCAAAATTATCACCGGGTCAGCAATGATTTATGATTGCATGAGATCTAGGATGGCCTGCACATGCATGCTGTGGCTATTATGAACGTCCATCAGGTATGAAGGTGCAAAATTATTAAAAAAATTATAAAAATAAGGAAAAGGATTTTTCAATCCATTTCCTCCTGAAAACACCTCTGAAAGTTACAGTTTTGGGAACTTAGTTTTCTTACAGTAAACCTATTTTTCATGTCCTTAAAGAAACTTCTTGAGGAGACAAAAGATTACATTAATAATTATCCCTCAAATTAGTCCATTAATATCTGTGTAGAATGATTTCATAGATTTTCTTGTGCCTCTTGTTATTTGAAAGCTAACATGTAGTCATAAATAAATTTTTCCTCATATAGGTTGAACAACTACACAGAGTATTTAAATTGTGTGGCTCTCCCTCCGGGGACTATTGGAGAAAATTGAAGCTGTCAGCAAACTTCCTACCTCCACAACCATATAAACCTAGCATTTTAGAGACATTTAAAGATCTTCCTTTGTCTACAAAGAATTTTCTAACCATGCTTCTTGCACTAGAGCCCTACAATCGTGGTACCGCAGCATCAGCTCTCCAAAATGAGGTAAGTTGCTATTATGGATTCAGCAACTTGTTAAAGAGAAGTACGCAAAATTTCTCAGTAGGTTTGGATGGTTATGGTTCGATTGCATGCTAACCAAACTTACCTACTTGTAACATTCTTGTGACGTCCATCTATTATTTAGTCAAATTAACTATGGAGTTTTACGCTTCTTTTAAACATATTTGTCCACCGTAGTATGTTTTCTTAAACATGCCAACCTGTTTCATTGTTAATGACTGAAATATTTCAGTCGTAACTGTCTCATAGAAATGAGACATCTAGTTGACATATAGATTTTTTTTTTAAAGAGGATATATTAAAGTTGCATAAAAGCTATTTTTAAACACAGCATCACAACTAAATTAGCTATCTATTTAGTAGATGAATTCCATTTACAAAATTGTTGTGATTGGTTCCAAATTAAATGAAAAACATTGAGATTTGATATTAGGTTGGTAAACAACTGTAAAACCTATGACAAAATTTATTAAATGAATACATTTGAGTTTGGATTTAGGAGGATTAATAAAAGGGGATGATGAGTGATGACTAATAAAGCTGACCCTAAATAGTTGTAGAAAAGTAGAAATATGAAAATTTATTTTAAATTTTATTGCTTACTTTTTACACTTGGATTGGAGGTATTTATATGTTAATTTGAGAATATTACATGTGAAAAAAAGGTTAATGCAATTTATGTAAAATACATAAAAAATTAAAAGAGGGGCTAAAGAGGAGCACATAGATTGCAATTCAATGGTTAAGCGGGAGAAAATTCAATGGATAAGCTCCTTAATCTGTGTGCTCAATAGATCAAATTATAATTAGCTTTATAATGAGACCAATGACTTCTCTAGGGTGAAAATTTGGATGGATGCAAGAAGGATCCAGAGAAGTAGGCCCCAATATGTGGGACCTCACAGTCTTCAATGCTCCACCTCAAATTGGATGATATTAATTTACAATTTTAAGTTTGCTTCCAATATTTTTGAACTTGGATTGTATGGTTATTTGGCGAATATATTGATTTTTTTTTTATTGCTGGTACATATAGAATATAAACCAAATTACTTTTCATTTTCTCTTTTATGAAATGTCTATCTACCTCTATATGCTTGGTATGATTAAGTTGTACTGACTTATGAGTAATGCCTATAACAAATTAATTATCACATTGTATCCTTATTCTCTCTTTGCACTTGATTTTTAAATCTTCCAAGATGATTTTGATCCACAAAAGTTTGCAGATTCCTTTGACAATTGCTTTAATTTCAGATTCATTGATATATAATGAAACAATCGATTCTTTCTTTGCCCTCCATGTTATGAGAGTTCTTCCCAAGAATGTATAGTATATTGAAGTGAATCTTTTATCCACCGGTGATTATGCATGGTTTGCATCAGTATGTTACAATTCAAATAATTGGAGAGGGAAAAATAAGCTTTAATTTTATTACACAATATCATCCTTATTTATAGATCCATACATGATATCTTAATAAAGAAACAAATAAATAAAAATCATTCATGATTATCCTAATATAATATTTCCTAAATCAGCCAGCTGTTGAAATTCCAATTTGCCTTCCATCTCAGCTTTGTTGAAATTCCAAACTTTAGAATTTTCCTGAAAATCAGAATTTGCTGTATCAACTTTTCCGTTGTACTTCCTTGAATCCAATTATCATAACATCAACCAATCACTGCACTTTTTGCTGGGTTTTCTGACCACTGACTTGAATCATTGACCACCCACAACTGTGTCCCGGATTTAACGGATGAAGACTGAATTTGTTTGAATTGGAATCCCACACCATTTAACATTATTTGGTTGTAGATTTCATACAACCATAACAATTATGGTAAAGAGAGGAGATTTTGGAAGTGGATATTTGAGATTGAAAATTTTTTTTATTGATTTAGAAAATCAAAGTTCATCTTTCTCACTTATGAAAGTGAGTTGGAAAGTTCATTTTGATTTGTATTTGCTTGTATTGACATCACTCAACCCAAATTTGCTAAGGGAGAGGCATACAATACAAATTTTGATTTTACAAATGCTCTTTAGCCAATATTTAAAATGACTAATTGAAAACCACTTTTTTCAAGAGATATCAGGAGTTGTCTTAGTTTATCCATATCTTCTTTGTTGAATTCTCCAAGACTGGACTGTGCTTCTGGGTTGGGCTGACTTGTTTCAGTTCTTTGATTCCACTCATTACTGGGGGTTTTCCATGTATCTTACAGCAATTTTCTTTTGTGTGTCTTGATTTCTTGCAATAACTGCACCAAAGTGAGTCTTTGTCTTTAAATTTGGAGAAATCTTTACCTTTCTCCTTCCATGAAGATTCTTTGTTCATCACCATTGCTGAGCTTTCAATGGCCTTCGATTTTAATATCACTCCTCGTCGGCTTTCTTCTGCGCGGATGAGAGAAATAGTTTCATTGAGTGATGGTGTTTTCTTCTTGCCAAGAATTTGAACCCTAACTTGGTCAAATTCTGCATTTAGTCCTGCAAGAAAATCATAAACTCTATCTTTTTCAATAAAGTTCTTTAGGATCGCAGCATCCTCCGGACATCTAGTTTCAATGCACCAATAGTGGTCAAGTTCCTGCCACAAATTTTGTAGAATGGTGGCATACTCCATCACGGTCTTACTCCCCTGCTTCGTGCTTCCAATTTTGACTTTAACTTCAAAGATTTGAGCCGCATCATGAGCTTTGGAGAAGGTTTGTCTGGCCGCATCCCATATGTCCTTTGCAGTCGAAAGGAACATAAATGTATCACTAATTTCTGGAGTCATTGAGTTCCACAACCATGACATAATCATGGAGTCTGCCTCATCCCATACCTCAAATTTATGATCTCCTTCTTTTGGTCCTCCTCCAAGGAGGTGATGTACTTTCCCTTTCCCCTTCAAGTAGGTCCTCACAAATTGAGACCACTTTAGATAATTCTTCCCATTTAGACGATAGGAAGGTTGAATGCTTTGAAGGTCACCTCGTCCTTGGTGTGCCATAGACTCCTCATTTTGCTCAACGCTTTGGGAGGAATTAATTTCAGACATTGGGTAGCAATGAAGGCTTCCAAAATTTTCTTTTTCATTCGATAATAAAGGTCGGTTTTTTTTTTCTGTTCGACAATGAAGGTCGATTTTTTTTTTTGAGTTACAAAAAACACAAAAAAGACTCGGTGGAGCCTTAAAGAGGCTCCGATTGGACTAGGGCACGGATCGGTCTCCTCCACTGAGCGGGGGCGACGACGTTCCTTCATCAAATTGGAAGTCACGACAATTGGTCCTATTAGATCGGACGTGGCGTTGGGAGCTCGCTCGTGCGATTTTGACGGAAGAGGGAAGCCGTCTCGGACGTGGCGTCGGGAGCTCGCTCATGCGATTCTGGTAGCACGACGGAAGAGGGAAGTCCTGCGATACCAGGTGACGAAACGGTCAAGCCGGGACTTCCGCTCCGAGCTTTCAGTCCTCTAGCCGGGCAAGAGAGCAGCAAGGGTCTGGCTCCTTCGTCTCGTTCTTGGCTATTCGACTATCCTCCTTCGATGAATTGTCCTTCCTATCAGATCGGAAGTTTGGATCGGGACTTCCGCTCCTTTTAGGCTTCCTGCTTCTGCGTGTAGGGTCGGCAGCGATGCTCCGAATATTTTTTTTTTCTTTTTCCTCCTCCGATGATCTAAGATCGTTCTCTGACGGCAATTAAGGCCATTGGCTCTGATACCATGTTACAATTCAAATAATTGGAGAGGGAAAAATAAGCTTTAATTTTATTACACAATATCATCCTTATTTATAAATCCATACATGATATCTTAATAAAGAAACAAATAAATAAAAATCATTCATGATTACCCTAATATAATATTTCCTAAATCAGCCATACGAATATGGAAGGAGATTGGCCTAATCCTGGTGAGCCTCCCACGGATCTTCATCCTTGGCCGTGGGATCAAGAGCCCAATAAACGATTGGGATTTTGACACAGTATAACATGCAAATTGTAGATTATTTTATTTTTTGTAGAGAATTCTTTTTTGGGACTTATTTAAGGTATTTGAGGACTCTATAAGCTACTTGAAGGTGAGACCCATTGGGGTTTTATATGAGTTGACTGATAAGACTTTAGTAAGAGTAATTTATGAACGAGTGTGAGATAAATCGATTAGTTTTCCAATTATCTTTAATATTGTCCCATATCAACTCCATCTGCATCGAACTTTGACATGTTTTAGTTGGGATATGCAAGATTTGCAATAAGCTATTTTTGTCTCTTTTATTAGGCCCCATGACATATTTTTGTTGAGAGAGAAGTATTTCTTATTTTGATTGAGTTAATTCTATGCGCAGGAAGTATTTGAATTTGCGCAACTCCTTGATTTAAAATTTCTTTGCAAGCTTTCTTCGATGGGGCTTCTTTTCTTTATTATCATCACCTGTGACATTTATGTCGTCAACATGTACAATGAGAATTGTGATATTACTATCAATGGTGTATTTTATGAAAATATTATGATACCCTTGTGATGTAGAATGGGGGCTCTGGGTCCGCCATACTTGAGGAAATACTGTTTTATGGCGTATCAGAGCTTGTAGACAGCAATTCGTGGCTCTTAGGATGGCTGGACATCAACAAACTGCAATTGGAACCTTGGGACAACACGTAGGATGACTGGGGAAGCAATATCCAGGGTTTTGGAAGGAGACACAACGCACTACAGCACCCTTCTTCGATGGGGCTTCATTTCTTTATTATCATCACCTGTGACAATTATGTCGTCAACATTTACAATGAGAATTGTGATATTACTATCAATGGTGTATTTTATGAAAATATTATGATACCCTTGTGATGTAGAATGGGAGCTCTGGGTCCGCCAGACATGAGGAAATACTGTTTTAGGCGTATCAGAGCTTGTATACAACAATTCGTGGCTCTTAGGATGGCTGGACATCAACAATCTGCAATTGGAACCTTGGGACAACACGTAG